AAAAGCAGTTTCAAATTGAAATGAAATTCGAAATGAAACACTGTTCCATCAAAACGTCGAAATGCAACAGTGCTGTTTTGCACAGCCCTAGTATTAAGCCTTAATGTGCGACTGCTCACAGTACATTCTAACTTTAACATTGTTTAACATTCCACAGATTTAGCTGGGTGAAACGTCAAAACAGCATCAAAACAACTAAACTGTTTCGACGAAATGAAATGGAAAAGCAGTTTCAAATTGAAATGAAATTCGAAATGAAACACTGTTCCATCAAAACGTCGAAATGCAACAGTGCTGTTTTGCACAGCCCTAGTATTAAGCCTTAATTTGCGACTGCTCACAGTACATTCTAACTTTAACATTGTTTAACATTCCACAGATTTAGCATGATCTAAGTGTAATGTGTAACTTCACCCTTTGTGACCTGGTAACTGACCTCCAACTTTGGTAGGGGTTGGTGATTATCATGTTAACTAACTGGCATTTAGCTAATAACCAGTTTTAGCACTGTTAGGTGAGTGCTGTGTCACTGCACCAAGAGCTGTCAGGACCTAGTGGTTTCCTGAATACCTTTATTCACCATAGACTAAGTAGTTAAGGAAACCAAGGTGGAACACAGTAGCCAAAAGGGGAAGAGAGGCAGTAATGGTAGTAAGGGAACCAGAATTGGAAGCTGCTTCAGGTACCTCAGCACAACACTTGGCAGTTAGTACGATGCCATATTGTTTCTGCTCTTCCTACTTAGTGACACCACATAATGCCTTAGAAAAGTCAGATATCCTTAGATTATTACAAGGATGATTGAAACCATCTCCTTAACTTCAGAAGTCCAGTTTCTTGGGACAAAAACATGGAGTCCATTCATCTCTTCCCATTTGATTTCTAGACAATGGACGTACAGTGCTTCCATATCACCCTGCTAGTTTCTGAACTGGGAAATGTATTGTGTGTGTGTGTATATAATATATATGTATATATATAGTTTGTCATCCCATATTATTTTGCATATATTGAGTTAATTGTCAGAATACCAGATTTCATTCGGAAATAAGGGTCTTTGGACAGGGCATCTGTAGCATCTTCACACAATATGGAACAGGAGTGTCTTTTGGTCTCTCCAAAAATGTGTGATTACAGACATCTGTGGCTTTGTCTCCTGCAAAAAGAGGTAGAATAAAAACTTACGAACTTGTACAACAGGAGATATGGGGATAACGATCTTTCTATCAAGTGAAATAATGCAAGGATCAGTCTTGCAACCTTCACCTCAACTTGTTAGCAAGGAGAGAAGGAATAGTACTTCCCAAGAAACTGACCTAGCATTGCAGGTCTAGCCTCAAGAGGACTTGTCATTTTCAGAATCACAGGGCTAGGCTGACTGCCAAGAAAGTCAGAAACATCCCAAGGCTTTACCTCAGTCAAAAAAGTCCTCCAGGTTTTTAGAAGACTTCAGATTGAGTGAATCAGCTAGCATCCTCTTCACAACCTCTTAATGCCACATGGTCACCTTCTGTATAAACAAGTAGAACTTGTAAATAGGCTTTCTAGGTGCCCTAGAAAGGGCCATATCTGGATATCATGCTACAATATTCTCTCTCCCCTACCAAAGAGCATTTGTGTCTATCCAACCAGATGACAGGTGAAAGGTGCATTTTGGTACTTGGTTAGACAGAGTTGTGAACCATCCTATATCTCTGAGTCCTGAGATACAAACTAATGAAAAAGGGGTTAAAAATACCATCTCAAGAATCAACCTTATACCTTCCAAAGAAAAGCATGGGCTTTGCACCATGGACTCCGTAGACACTCATGTGGAGCTGGGAATACATTTAGCATATCCTATCTTTGAGAACAGCATGTCCAATTTAGCATATTGACTTGCTGGGATCACCCTTCCCTTTTTCCCCGGAGTTGGATATATGTACTCTTCTCTTTATACAAATGTATTTAACATCTTACACTATTATTAGGGCCTTGTTACATGTTATACTTAGGCCATGCTAAAGGCCCTTAAAATGTGAGTGTCAGTGCAGTAAAGCAGGAAAACTCATGCCAAGTGATCTCTATGTGTCTCACAGTTATGCTACTTCAGGTGAGTACCACCTTTGGGTCATGCTACTCAGCTTGTATTGCAGTAATGTTAGTTGGCTTCACAGGAGAGAAAACAAGCAATTTGGAGGCCTCCAGCACCCCAGACTGCACCACTCCCAGGCTCCCCACTCCTATTCTGTGGATCATCTACCCACCTACCCAAGCTCTACAGTCTGGGGGCTGGTACTGCCAGGGGACTGCCCCCTACACAGTACAGCAGCCCTAAACCAACCAGGCCCCTGGCAGCTCCCTGTTTGGGCTTCCTTTAGGAGTGCAGTGCCACAGCCACTGGGAGGGGGCTTTGTGCAGCAGGAGCGTAGAGCCATCAGAAAGAAGAGGGAAGCATGTTCTGTGCTCTCATTGCACAAAACTCCCTTCCAGTGGCTGCAGCTCTATGCTCCTAGGGGAAGTTGAAGCATGGAGCTGCCAGAAAGAAAAGCTGCCATACAGACCCCACAACCTCCCCCTTTCTGGCTACTCTGTACACCAGCTTCCCCTATGAGCATAGAGCCACAGAGTCTCTGCAGCACATCTCTCTCCCATCCCCTCACCCAAGGACAAGAATGCACAGGGCTGCAGAGGAAGCCACATCCCCCATTAAGCCACCTGGCCAGCAGAGATCTGGCATGGCTTGGCGGAAATATGCCCAGGCAGCGTGGGAAAATTTCAGTTAACCATGGTTAATTGAACTTTCCCATGGCTTTTGCCTAGCTCTGGAGAAAGATGGGTACCCGATCCCTGATACAGGGGGGCTAGACCAGGTCATTGGAACCACCTGGCGTGGGGCCAGCTGGCTGGGATTGAGGGCTTCCTGCAGCACAGTACTCTTCCCCTTCTCCCCCAGCCCACCCAGAGCAGGAATACAACCCAGGCATCCTGGCTGTTAGCCACACCCCTGCTTGCTAGCCCTCCAGCACCAAATCAGATCTGTGCATAACATTCCATAATTTTATCACGTGCAAGTTATAACATGCAACAACCCCCTAATTAGAGAAGAAAAGCTTAGAGCTACCAGTTCTGCTAGGGAGTTGTTCTAGTTTACTGTTGGCAAACTATGTCTGTAGTACATATTACATTACAGTTGTATGTTTGGACTCCTAGACATATAAATTGTTGTGATAGGATAGTGTCAGAATAAACATTAAAGGATAAATAATTTACTTTTTCCAGGCACTTCATGTAGTTATAAATATAGACACTTAAATAGCTCCTAGAACTGAGTTGCAGCAGCAGCTCCAAAGTGTGGAAAACTACATGAAGATTGGTAGAAGTCCTGGTCTAAGATTAAATCAGTCGCATCGTCATGTGAAGATTTAGCAGCATTACATGCATCTAAATTTAATTCCAGATAGATGTCCCTCACAACTGGATAAGGTTATAGGTCCCAACTGTTAAATCAATAGCAGAAGATGAAGAATACATGATGATGGAGTTCCTTTTTCCTTAAACTCTTCTTATACAAGCATAACTTAAACATTTAAAGGCCATCTAAATTTGAGTATCTCTGCAATATAATACTTACCTAAAAGCATTTAGAGTAGCTCAATATAGCTATTTTTTTCCTATTATAAAGTATTAAACAATAATACTCTGTTTTTTTGGCTGTTCTAAGATGAGGAAACGATTGAGTGTGGTAGGTGCATTTTTATTTCTTCTCAGATTTAACTTTTCATTTTTCAGCTATGTTTTCAGCCATCTAATCATTTCCTTTCCTATTTTTTTCTTTGTGCTTCTCAGAGGAAATTGAAGGTACATGTACAAAAGTTTCCCTGCATAGCGCAGTAATTTTATTTAGAGAACATGTGTTTAGAATTACATTGAATGTAGTTCAAAGTTTATAAGAGATGTTATATACACAAAGCTTCCATATTACCACCAATAATATTGAATCATATTAAAAAATGTTTAAAAAATATCCCTCAAGCTAATCTTAGATGTCTTACATAGCGGTCAATAATTTGACCTACAGCTATAAATGGTTTTACATTTCTTTTAAGTGCTGGGAAATAAAGGTACGTGCAAAAAAGAGGAGCAGTGCCATACGTAAAATAGCCTTGGTAGAACTTACTGAGTGGGATGGATTTTATAGAATTGGCTTCTGACTTGATTACAGGGCCCTAAGAGGTCTGTTTTTTCTGTTCATACATTGTGGCAAAATACAGTAGCTCATTAATTGTTTTCAAATCCATTATAATTAATACTGAGGAGAGTATTTATTTGAAACATGGTAAAAAAATCCCCCCATATTATGTAAAATACTTCTTTTCTTTTGTGTGAAGACTAGGTTGCTACTTACAACATATGTTAAAGCAATAGCAGCTGATATCTTATAGGGTTTTTTTCCTACCTAAAAGGATTTTTGTTTATAAAGGCATTAGAAAATGTAGCTCATATTTTTGATCAAAGGGCCTCTGGCATGTAAAAATATAGCCATTTTATATAAAATGAAAGGGCACATTTTTGATCAAAAACCTTTCTGTCTAATCCAGTGAGCCAAAATTTAAAGCTGAAGTCTGATAATACAGTTTACCAGAGAGCTTGATTTACATTAAGTATTTTTGCGTTTTCTTAAATGGCATCATATTTTCTACTTTTTAAAGTGATGATAAAATGCAAGTAATATAAAGTTAGATACCCTTCTAAAATACTTTTTTCATTGCTGTCATGAAAAGGCACTGTGTAAAAAGGTAAGAATATTATAGTATGCATGCTGCAAAAGTCCAGAATACCTCCAGCAAAAATATAAAACAACTGAAATTGTTTTATGTTTTTATATCAATGGCTTTTTTATGCTGTGCTTTGTACGGGTGTCATTTACAGTAACTCTTCTGCGTTTGTGTCTGGGCTTCTAACTATTCTGCTTTATTTCTTGGCTTTTGTTCTGTACGCTTTTACACTTCGTCCAGAAGATGCTGAAAATGCTGGTCACTACAGTGGAACCTATTTAGGTGAGCAATTAGTTATGAAAGACAATTTCTTCCTTTCTTTCAGCTTCTTCCTGGAAATACTGTCTTGTTGTTTTGGGGGTATCAAAATGCAGTTGACATCCAGATCTCCTTGTGGTGCATGTTTAAGAGCATGAATGTTGAAATAAAAATGGCTCATTGGATTTGACATAAAGGATTTACATAGTTACTGTAATACTTGTTTATTATCATTGACATTCAGAAGCTATTAAAACACTGGGTTTTTTATAGTCAAGATAATATTATGCAACTACAAGATACTGTTACATGGTAAGATTACATGACTTAAATTTGGAGAGAAACTAAACAGACAAACTATAGTAAGAAATATTAGAAAAAAAGATCAATTCATCTACTGCATCATGAAAAAGGTGAGTGAAGGTTTAAAGAGACTCTTTCCAGGTTTGATTGAGCCATTCTCTTCTCTTACTTTTTTCATTACTCCTGTTTGTAAAGTCTAATTCATCAGGATAGGTTGGGATTTCAACACTAATATACAAGTGGTCTCTTCTTTCTTTTTACTTTCAAGTAAAATGAGGTGTAGCTAACTCCAGCAGATACATTTTATCCTAAAATAGAATAATATTTAACAGCCTTTAATTCCAGTTTCAAGCTTTCAAATTACAAACAATAGGAAAATTGAAGACAGAAGCTCTGAGAGATGCTTTTTAACTCCTGAACCTTAATATGAGGTTTTGAAGAACTAGTGGGCAGGACTTTTTATTCTTCTGAGGCCTCTTTGTGCCACTTGACAGATCCAGAAAGGAATTACCCCTCCCTCTCCACCCCCCCCACCCCTCCCGGGAGTAGGCTGACCGAGATAGATCTTATGCCAACCAGTTCTTCTCTTACCATTCATGTTCCCATACTAAGAGGAAAGAACTGGGAAGAATATGGAACTGAGCAATCTATTGCTCCTAAACCTCCATCTTATGCCTGTTATATAAACCATACTACAAAACAAGCTTCTAACAGCTTGATCCCTAGATTTTGCCATCCTCCAGGACTCAGACACCATTTTTAAATCCTTGTGTAGAAGATATGAGGAAAACTTACTGCTCCGTACAGAGTACCAGTTTTATGTCTGGTTTTATGAGGGACTAAACTACAGCTGGAAAACTATATTTTGCAGATGATTCCAAATGCGCTGTCACTCGATGACTTCCTTTTCAAAAGTTTTTGAAGTGGAAAGATTAAACCTCCAGCTATCCATGCTGTAATTTTAACTTCATTTTTTAGAAGACAACCATGATAATCCTGCATTCAGATCTTAGCTGGTAGTTGTCTTATTTTAGGGCAGGTGAATTAGAATAAAATCCACCTATTCTATATTGCTATTGACCTTGCAGTGAAATACTGTTTTTGTTGGTAAAATTATCAGATGGGGTCAGTTACACAGAGAGCAGATTTGTTGAATAAGAAAATACCATTGCTCTGGACATAGAAAGAAAGTCAAGATGCAGTGGCTGTTGCTTAAATGTGTCCCAACCAATGTGGTAGTGAAGGATAAAATTCCATCCCAGTTGCAGACAAGGCATATAGTACAATGTGCATAACGTCAAAAAACTAAATCTAGGATAATCTCATTTATGAGAAGCTGGGAGCTCTGAATCCACTTATGAGATGAGATTCAGGCTGTAGGGACTGGGTTTCTATAACTTCCCCCAGGTGCAATACCTAGCAATGGTAGCAATCCCACATAGTCGAGGATGATTAATTCCACAGGTCAAGTAAAGGGTGCAATACCCAATACCTTACTGAAGTCCCGTAAACCAACCCAAGTGATAGCACCTCCCCTCATTCCATACCTAGAGAGAGAGAGCAAGAGAAGTAGAAAAGAGGAAGACTCCTTCCAGAACACAGGGAAGGGGAACTCTTAAAGGGGCCCTTTTTCCTGCTAGTTTAGGCAAAGTTCCCCCGCGCACGCATGCCTTTCTGGGTGTGATGGTTGCCTTGTGGATAATGCAGTTATTCTTTTGACTGCAAAAGAGCTGTAAAGCTGTCCAGTTGTTTATACTCACATTTTCTTTGTTGCTGTCTTCATACCATCTTTTCCATTCTTATTTACTGTCTTTTCTCCTTATCTCTCTGTTCTTTTACTCGGCTTCCTGCCTATGTGTTCCTATCCACCCTAA